CTAACTCACGTGCTCATCACCTCCTGCTCTGACCATCACAACATTCTACCACCTGGTCTCCCTCTCCCCTGCCTCTTCCTTCTCCAAGCCATACCATACAAGAATCTTTTGAAAGCCCAGTTCTCATCTTTTACTTTTAAAAAATTATCATATCAAAAACATTCAAAGGCTCCCCATTGCTTTCTACATAAATAAAGTTTATACTGATTAGGTGGCTTTCAGGGATTTCCTCACTGTTCCCAGACTCTTTCCATAATATTCTAAACCTTTCNCCCGCCCTGCACTGACGCGCAGCAGCGGCCGCGGCGGCTGCAAACCCTGCCGAACCCCAGCAAACCCCGGGCAGCCGGAGGGACGGGCGTATGCAAAGCAGGGACGGCGGAAAGCCAATGGGATCGGAGGATGCTAATTACCTCGCTTTTTTTTTAAAAGGCCTAGTCTCTGCGCGGCCCCGCCCCTCCCACGCCCCCGGCCGTGACCACTACTGGGGAAGGGGGGAGCGACAGCCTGCGATTTGAGGGACCCGTGGGAGCGGAGAGACGCGGGTGCTGTCCCCCTGCTGCTGTCCCTGCCCCTCAGGCTCCCGTTCCAGAACGGGAGGGTGTAGGTTGGGCAGGTGACCTCCGCACCGAGGTGTACTCCCCCCAGCGGCTCACAAAGCGTCTGCCTGAGGGTCACTTTCTGCCCTGAGTTTCGGATTTCACTTTCCTTTTTTTTTTTTTCTTTTATACAGGAAGCATGTTTTTTCTCCCTCTCTCTACCCTCCACCTCGGGTACCCAAACCAATTAATGATTNCAATTAATGATTCCCTCTTTCAGCCCAGATTTGCTCCAGCGTGGAGGGTAATAAGCCAGACAAGTGGAGGGGCCAGGGCGATGGTTGCCGCTGCAAGCTGAATCCCTGGACATTAGCCACCTGCCACCAGCGCTCATTAACTAGCCAGGAAGACCCTGAGCCCACCCTGGGGGTGTGCTGGAGGGAGGGCTCACGCGCCGCTTTGCCGTTCTGGTGAGCATCATTCCAAACAGCTCTGCCTTAAAAAAAAAAGAAGAAATTTGCTCGGAGTAGAATTTTCTTTTTTGACTAAAGAAAGATATAATATATATGCATAAAGTTAGCTGTATTTCTGTGTCAAATGGCATTGTCTTGTTTCCTTGTCTGTCCCCACCCACCCTGGCAGAAACCGTACCTTATTCACGAGGGCATCCTCAGCTCCCCACACGGTGTCTCTCAGCTTAGAAGTCCCCTTACAGGAAGCCTTCCCTATCCCCCAAAACTGGCTTGGGTGCTTCCACTGCCCCACCCCCTTCCGTGATTGCTGATTTCTGGGTCTTTGTCCCACCAGGTTGCTACAGTCTGATATCTTGTCTGGATTCCACACTGG